GTCCGATCACTTATCTTTCAATTTTTGTTTCAATTTTTTGCGGGTTAACCAATTACATTTTTAATTATTCCCACAAAACAAAATCACCCCCCAAAAGTGATTTTTCCGAAGTCTGATTGCAGCCATTTCTCAAGTGGCAACCCTCAACTTTCTCCGGCACTTAGGACCATTTTTCAACCGTAGTTTTTTGGCCTTCTGCTCTCATATGAAAGCTAAAAGACCCAGGGAGTTGATCCCAGCAACGATTTACACGATCTCACCATTTTGGGGGCCAAACAATCTCCTTTTCCAAAAGATACTGTAGGGGCACTTTTAATGCTAATGAGCTGGCCTGAAATTCTCACTTGAATTAGTGGTCTGCACTCTGCACCCATATGGTGTAACAGGGACACAAAATGTCACACTTTTGGACTCTGAATTTATAGAATGACATTTCTATCATACAACCGTAGCACATAATTTGATCAAGTTAGTACATGTCCTCTGAATGATGGGGTGGAAAAAAATCTGAAGCTAGAGAGAAACTTTGAAAGTTTTACACTGAAACCTGTGTTAAGATTGCAGTTACAGTAGCTTATTTGGTGGCCCACAAGTACATACGTGCACCTTTGGGGCAAAGTGGCTCTCATCCTTTTAACAGCTCCATGCTCTCATGATTCGTAAATTTACACCACATACGGTACATGTACATATACATATGACACAAACCCAGCATCTACACATACATGTACCTGTGCACATATGTGTGTATTTTAACCAAACAAATAAAAATAAACAGTTTTATACACAACAAAAAATCTTTTAACTTTGTTAGTATTACATTGTAAAACAACATTAGAATAAAAATAAAATAAATTCCATATAATTCAATAGAAACAGATACAACTCATTCCCGTGTTACATACAAACTTCCATACAAATCTCTTGATTCCTAAGTTTTACATACAAACTTCTATACAAATCTCTTGATTCCTATGTTTTGAGGGTTTGATTAAATATTCTCATCTCTGGGTCAATATAAAAGTAAACCAAACAAAATTTTGGACTATCGAACACTCATTTACCAGTATCTAATCAGAACTTAGGAAAGAGCTGCAACAAAAACACGCAGTTCACAGATATCACTTCCTTGGTGGTTTCCGTTTATAAATAATTTGGCCTTCTGACCAGACAGTTCCATACACTGATGAAGGTCATTTCATAATTATAAATGTACTTGTACATGTGCAGACAACCATCAAGCAAGGGACTGGTTCTGTTGTATGGTTTTTAAAACTATTTCTAAGCAAGTCACCTTTCTGGAAAGTCCATCATTTTTTGATAATTTGAGTTTTCCAAGGAAACTTTATGACAGGTGTTTTGAAAAGAAATTCTAAACAATACATTCCAGTACAACAAACCTATACATTTCCAATCAAGCCCAAGAATGGGAACACACGGAGTCAAACACACACGTTATAATTGATTTCACCTATTTTGTGGGAACCTTAAATGTTGTGGGTACCCAAATATGTTCCATATCTCAGTCTCTCACCTAAAAAGAAATTTCAACACATTGAAGGCCTGCCCACATGTACATACATGTACAGTGTACATGTAAAATTTGTACATGTACATGCATTGTTCACCCAACTGTTCACAAAGTTTTTGTATAGTATGCACAATATGACCTCTATCTTCAAGCCATACCAAAGAAAATTCCACAATGCAGACAGGAAGTGATAACTGGCAGTGTACTGTATCTTTGTTGAAGACAAAAACCTCTAATCTGGGATCCATGGGTGTGTTGTGCTACTGACCACAGTGCAAGATCCCCCCTGTAATTGTGCTTGAATGTGAATTCCATGTGCTACTACCAGGAAGGGCAATTTTTCAAGGATATTTGGGAAAAGTTTACAACAATAACATTTGTTTGCAAAACTATGCATTTTGAGGTTGATGAGATGCACATGGTTTCAGTGGGAAATTGTGTAGTAAGTCTAAGCATTATCCTTACCCCCTAGGGACCACTGAAATCCTGCATTTATCCTTATTGGGTTCAGCATGGTTAGGGACAATTATAACGGACAAATAATGGACAGATCATATCTAAGGGAGAGTACATACATGTACATGTACCATGTTTAAGATGTCAACCATAGTGTTGAAAGTGGCCTCCTCTACAATGTATGTTGATGCACTATTTACAGTATGTATCAAACTATGAATTGCTCTTATGATGCAATTTTGGGTAAACTTCCTTGAAAATTACAAAGCATTAAAGATCTGTTCTATTTCCACTGACACTTATTTTTGACTCACAAAAACAAGTTACACGTACAGTACATGCTCTGTTTGTGCCACTAAATGGAATTACATGTGTATGTATGAATCCTTTCACTAGTACAGTACCAAAAACGGAAAACTATTTTTCAAAAAGCAGTGAACACAAATTTATCTCAGTTGCTCTTCCTTCCATAATCAAGGGAAGAGCCTACATTTTGTAATGCACATGTACAGGTACCAGCAATGCTGCAGAGGGGGAGGCACTTGCTTTCTTTTGTCTGGTGAATCTTCCCAGGTCCTCTTCATCTTTCCATCTCAGTCTCAGTCTGAGTGTTATCTCTTTAAGCAGTGGGTCTATGGGCACAATCTCAAGTCACAAAAGAATCTATTGAAGTGTGGAATGCAGCAAACATCCAATAAAAAGACTCCAGAATTTGCTGTGCTGTGCACATGGTTAGATTCTTTATCTGGGAAGTACATGTAGGCCTACTGTTTAGCAGGCATTACCCATGGATGTACATGTAAGTTGCAATGCTTGGAACCGTACATGTATCAGACAAAACATGAGTTGTTTATGTACAGTGCATTCTTTGTGCATTTCGGTACCTTTTTGTGAGTCAAAATTCAGTAATTGTTGGGCTATACTCTAATACCAGTACGTGTAATATTATCTATTTAGTCATTATGTCATACATGAATGGTATCTTTTTCAAAAAGGGCAACACCAAGGGTTTACAGAAACTTGTGTGAAAATGACACCACAGCATACTGTACATGTACATGTACATGTACGTGATAGACAACTGAGAAACAGTTGTAATGCACGCTATGCATACCATTGCAGGCTTAATATCACTTCAAAACAAAAACACAGAAATTTTTACCTACTTTATCAGAAGATAATTCTTTTTTGTTAAAAATGGTTGCATGTTTGCAATTACATGTATGTAAAGTTCCAACATTTTTATCAAAAATACATTTCTGAGATTTTTTCAGTTCATATGAAGCTACATGTACATGTACGGGTACATGTATGTACAGTGTAGTGCCATCCACAACAGCATGTTTTAGTGATTACCAGTTGAAGATTACAGAGCGTACCAAACATCATTGAAGCCACATCCAAATCTGCGGCCTTACAGCTGCTGGTACTACATGTAGTAAGGTCTAGGTCTTCACCCAAGGGACATATGCAGGGACACATCAACGACAGATACACGCATAAACATGTACTAGTACATTGTACACGCACCTAAGCCATAACGGTAGCAGTAGCCTTTGGAGAACATTAAAATTACAGCCTAAGAATAGGCAATACTGAATGAGAACGTGGATTTTCTTGAAAGTATCGAACACTGGCTACGACTCTCCACCACTACATGTACCTCTTTTGATCAAAATCCAAAGCCTTAGTCGCACGAGACAGGACCAGATTATAGCTACCCTGTGATGCACCACCTCATACAATCCCATGTACTGGTATCACACGTATCGTAACTAAATTGATCAGCAATGCTGGGTATACATGTACATGTATACAGTGTCCGTGTACACGGACCGGTACGTGTATGTACATGTACATGTATGTACATGTACATGTTCATGCCAACAGCACAAGGTGCAGTGAGACAGTGAGCATTTGGACCGGAAAACCCTTTAACAACCAGGAAACCCTTTAAGAACCAAGAGTTTCAGCTAGTAACCTTTAGTTGACCTCAGTGGCTCTCCCACACCCTGTCAAGATGCCAATTCCAATGATGTAGGCTTACATGTAAGCTGATCACTGGGAGAGGTCCATGTAAATTCTAACAGATCGGCATTGTGCATACTTTTAAATATGATACAACAACCTACATGTACCAGGAGGTCTACTTTTGACAAGTTTCTCTGCTATTCTTAATCATAAATTCATAATCTTATAACCATAAAACTACTCACTTCAGTTTAGTGTATTTTTACAGAACACTGAACAGTCACAAGGTTGACCTCATGATAAAAATGGTTTTTGACAGCACACATGCATCACACAACAGATGGTGTATAATAACAGGGCCAGCTCTGTAGTAAGAAATGTGTTTGTTGAAACATTCAAAAACACTTCAAGAGCAGTTTTTTAAAATAAAGGGCTTCCAATTCTTAAAAATAACTTTAAAGCAAATCATACAAGTTTAAAATATGCCATCCTGTTGGACCAAACATCTACATGTAATGTATTAATTTGTAGATTCTTGCATGTTGATCCAACACATTTACAACTGGGGGAGTGAATCATTGTGAACTTACCACGTTTTTTGTCAACTTTTCTTCCTTACTGTTATTACATTGGGTAACAAGGGCATCTGGAGAATGTCTAAAGGTGGTGTTGTATACAGTGCATAGTGGTCCCCCCATGTGTATAACTCACAATTAATTCCACTGTTCTTGAAGTCAGGTATAGTTGTAGATGTACACATACAGTGTATGTACATGTACCCGTTTTCATCTAAAGACCCCTTCCCACTTCTTTGACAAGTACAAACTCAAAATATGTTAGAGTTTTGAAAGACCCTCATTTACACTAACTTACCAGTAGCTGGAATATTCTGGAATAAACAGTGGCAGTTTTAATCAAATTATCCCTTTGTCCCAAACCAATTTTCCTATTGACCTTTAATATAAGGACACATCATGGGTAGGCCTATAAGTTCCAAAGTCATTTCCTGCACATGAAACTAATTAGCTGAATTAAGCCCCATACCTGATTAGAACCACAACAGCCTGCAGGGCATGTTTTTGTTCCTGCGTGTACACTGTACATACCTTTCAATCCACAACAAAACAGATGTAAACTGGGGTGTTTTATGTGTTGTATTCCTGAATGACATACATGTACATGAACATGTACATGTATGTACTGACAAACCAGGCAGAACAGCACTTACTAAGACTTCTTTTGCAGTGAGGAAAATACAATGTACAGTACATTCCAACAGAAACTCCACAAAGAGACCAATGCCCCAAACACATTAACAAACACAGCAAACAAACTTGTGTCCGCATCACAGTGACAAAGTACAATTGTACTTCAGCCTGTGACCCAGGTTCACATTCACTACAGCCCAAACATGACTCCAAGATATCAGCGGCCTTACTGTGTTCTGAATGCACCTGATCACACATATGTCTATTTCCAATATAGTACCAGTAATGTATTAACATGAACATAAAGCATGCTTATTTTTGCAACTGTAACCTTACACACTATATACAACTTGCAACATTAATACCAGGACGACACAAAACTAATGAGCATACCCCAAAGAGTACATGAAAACTGAACTTGAAACTGTGTAAACTTATATTATAATCTGGTAAACAACATTGGTATTTAGTAAGCAAAAGGGATTTCAACCCCAGTGTAAACGAAGACCTGAAACTGTGACATCACACCATTGGAATTTATTCTAACCACAGCTGGTATGTCACTTGAACAGCTTTGTCCACCAGGTAGGAGTACAATGATAGTGCAACTTACCTCCGTTCAGGGACAGGTTTTATGCAGTGCCCCACAAAACCGCAGTTCTCATATAACATGTTTACAGTGGGGGAAGTGCTCAGTATAATGGAAACAGTCAAAACAAACTGCACAAAACATACCAAAACAAGCTGATACAAGTGGGGAAAGCCAGAGAATAGAAAAGGTCTTCCTTTACATGAACAGTTTATATATGCATGAATGTACACAGCATATGTTTTAACATTCCAAGTAAAAAATCAGATTAATGCAACACAAGAGGAAATTGGAATGTTAACCGTGAAACTCTTGAAGAAAATACTAATCTTCAGTGAAACATTGAAAAGTGTCCTTTTAAAATAATTCACTTTCTGAACATCTTGTTTATTTTCCTAGAAAGTTAACTTTGTTACTTCAGTTATTTCATAAATTTGAATAAGCGTCATTTACACATGTACATGTACTAGTAGGTATTGTAATCAAGCATCTCTTGAAGAGTTGAGGGTAATTAACCTGTAAGTTACCTGAAAACCAACTTGCCAAGACTGAAATATTTCTTTTGTCTAGGAATGAATTATTTTCAAAAGAAGGCATTGTTTTCAGAAACTCCTTGCAGTTGTTATGTGTAAATTTTTGTGAAACCCTTGCATAACTTTGAGAGGTCAAATACATATACATTGTAGCTGTGACACTTGAAAAAATTCAACTTAAATTGTAATTAAATGTGGATTGTTGTGGCTACTCACCAATGATCAGCAACAATACAACGCATAATCCCTTCCAGTGCTGCATTTTTGGTAAGTCTAGTAAAATCCCATCAACTGTAGGAAATGCGCACTGCTGGCTGCAACGCACAGCTGACTCCAAATCCCCTGCCTTTTGAAAGGCACTTGGCAACAACTTCCGCTTGAGTGGACCAACTCCCGGGGTGTTGAATGGGGCTACCAGAGCATGTGGAGCAACTTGTCACAAACAGGCTAGGCTACTTCCCACTCCAAAAACAGAGGTATTCCTCTGTTGATGGCTGAAATACAAACCTACTCCAGTTCACTTGTCCACTAATCCACCCTGACAGCCACCTTGCAAGAGTGACAACTGAGATCAAGCAGGTAGTGTTGTCCAAACCAGCAAAGATTTTTCCTTCTGGTACTGATCTGTGTTCAACCAGTTGCAAGTTCACCAGTCCAGTATCCTTTCCTGGTTCCAAGAGCTCAGTCCTAACAACTGTCTAACCACCAGGGCTGTGTACAGACAGAGACACAATTAAAGTGTGATGTGTCAATAAATTCAGTCTGAGGAATATCCTGTCATTTGTAAAAGGAAAATGTCTGGTTTACATGACTATTTAATCTTTCATGATAAGATAAGAGAGTTTTTCTTCCCTTACTTACCATAGGACATGCCCTCATTGACTAAACTGAACAAAAGCACTAATAGAACTTTTGCATCAGAGCAACGTCATAATTTTGTGAAATGCATACATTATATGATGTTTATTGCATTCCAAAAATCAATCCTTTAAACTGGACAATAGTCCTTTCCAGTGAATTCTTTCATTCATATGCATTCGATCATTCATGTAATACATGTACTAGGGTTTGTGTGTAAGAAATGCTTCCAACCTGAACAGTACACTTTTCCAAACATGAGACACAGGGGTGTGTCCAAAATTCAGCAAACCCCTGCATCATTTATGCTAGTAATGCATACCAAATGAGTTCTTTTTTCTTTTTCGTATGTGGTTTTAGCATTTTTGCTAACAACAACGAACAAGCTGGTGTGGATATTTCAACCAGAATGTTTGGTTTGAAAGAGTTGAAGATCTCGCCCCTCAGAACGTGCTCAAGTGCAGACAAGGAAAACGGATTGCAAATCTGGATAATTTTGACAAATGCATGTTTAGGTTAGATACATACATGTATCCATGTGGTACACAAGAACAAATGAAACAAGTTCAAACTGCAAAGGGTCTCAACACTTATAATACAGGCAGGTACCATTTCTTTGGCACAGCCCAAACGGGCAGGATCTGTCCTTCTTGTATTTTCCTACTTACAGATTTCAATAAGCAATGCAAGGTAGCTGTGGTAAAATCCATCGGTAAGTATCGTCTGTTTTAGTCCACGTTATGGTCTGTCAGTTTGCTCTTTTCATCTCACAGTGTGTCAGGAAGAACGAGAATATTCTTAGCACCTCTCATTTTCAAAATCCCAGAGAAATATCAGTTTGTGCTTCATGAGTGCCAAACATGCTCAAGAGCAGAGAAACACAAATAAGACTAAGAATAGGGGTACTCAGTATCTATACTCAGTGTCTATAGACAAGTGCATGACAAATCCACTTCCCCCCTTCAATAAACTGGTTCAAAAGACAAGAAAACTGCTATTTTGAACCAACATGCATACTGGACATGTACCGGTTCATGTTTGTAAATTTTTCTTATTAGTAAAGGTCTGGTATCAGCATGGAGCTACAAACACAAGGAGTTAGAACGAAGTCCCTAAAGATCGTAATCCAAACTGCTCTGGTCGGCTCCATCTAAAAAATGCAGTTACCTGCCCCAGTGTTGAAGACCCTAGACATTCTTTGTACACAGTGATCGCAACCGCCAGGTAGCTGGTAACCGACAGACTTGCTGTGTTTTGCTGCAGCACACTAGAGTAAATAAAACGTGGAAAAGATGCACGAAGAAGAGTAGTCCTCAGGAGTCAGCAAGTGATCACTGCAGATGAGCTCGAAAATTCTGAATCAGCGGTGGTTATTTGGCAAAAGTTGGAGGTTTTTAAAGTCATTTAAATGCGTGCCATTTTGCGATTCCAACCGTAGAGAACAAATACCCAAAATATGAACTGCAACATTTATATCATAAGTAGCAATCCTAGTGGTTCCTACAGTTAAGCGAAGGTGGAAACATACAACAAGAATGCTTTTGACAATGTGGTGAGGTTTCATGCTGAGACAGTTGTGGACAGAAAGGAAAACGAATCTTCCCATGTTTTTGTGTGTTTTTTTATTTTTCTCTGGACCAGCTACATTCTTTCAGGTTTCTTGTGCGTATTTTGGTTAAGTTTATATTAGTTAGTGATTCTGTTTACTGTTAAGAGAGACGTTTTGGGGATGTAAAGACGTAACCAGGCTTTCATTGTCATTGGAATATCAGAAAAATCCCTTAAATTATCAAAATTTAAGTCTCTGATGATGGTGGTCTCCGTCTCGAGGTGGCCATGTTGAACATGCAGAAGTGTTACAGACACGCATGCGCTGTACCCACGATCCTTTGCAAATGCAACTCCAAGCATTTCTTGTAGCCTGCAAGCGGCGCGGAATTTGTTTTGTCCTTTCAGCACGTGCAGTGCTTGCGGTGGCCATCATTGACCCTTTTGATCTCTGTACATGCTTACTCCTTGTGTATAATAGCTCCATTGTATCAGTTATCAAATGCTTTGTGAAGCAACAAATGTATACTAAGTATTAGCCTCAAGCTTTCAGTAGTCACTGTTAAAATTGACAACTGTAGTTCTGCACAAAAAATAGCTGCTGCAGTGTGCATAAAGTTTAAATGTAACTAAAAGTGTGGCTGTCATTTTAAAACGCTGAAGCCTAACATGTGAGAACTTGTACCATTAAGCTTATTCTACAAGCACATACACGTTATGTACATGGTAATGTGGTTCCAAGTACAGTAAATACAGAGTGATTACTCAGAATGTACACTGTATGCAAAATACTGATGAAAAAGATGAACATTTTATGATTTCAATCAAACTCAAGGGGACAAGTGAAATTGATAAGACAATTAGTTATAACTTGTTGGTAAGGCAAAAGAATAGTCACATTTCCTGTTCAGTGTTTCCCGATCAATCATTTTGACAATACAACCCTCCTCCATTTATGGTGGGAGAAGAAAACAATGCAAAAAGTGAAAGTGGAAAATGTGAAATTGGAAATAAAGAAAGAAAAATTAGCCTATTGTGATTTGCACAGAAGTTCAACAGACTTATTCATAACTACATACACATGATGTGTATCTGTGACATTTATTCAATTAAAGTGGTACCTTTTGATTATTTCAAGATATATCGAAATGGATATTACATGTAACAAATCATTTTTGAGATCTAAATCAATTTTAAGATATCTCAAATTCATTTGGAGATATCTTTCACGATATCTCAAAATGAGTCACTAAAGTGCTATGCCAGGTCATTCGGGAACAAAGCAGGATTGGCTGCGAAGCATGACAGGTCTTATTCGGCAAATATTGAGCACTCGTATTTGTTATTCTCGAATGACCTCAGAAGCACTTCGTTTAGGTCATGTGCTATCGATCTATGATTTGGAGATATCTCAAAGTGATTTCAAGATATCTTGAAATCGATTTGATGATATCCTGACATCGATTTAAAGAATAATCTAGAAAACAATTTTAAAATATTTTGAAAACGATTGAAAGATATCTTAAAAACAATTTGAAGATTCAAATACATTTAAAGATATCTTGAAATAAATTTAGAGATGTCTTCAAATCATTTGGAGATATCTTGAATATGAGTTCAAGATATCTTGAAATTGATTTTAAGATATCTTGGAATCATTGAAAAGACATCTCAAAACCGTAAATCAAAGGCTTTAAGTGTTGAGAGTTTTTCAACATATCTTGAAATAATTAGAGATATCTTTAAAGAAATGAAGATATCATGAAACAACCAAAAGAGACAGCTTGACCTTGAATAAAAGTCACTTATGCCCACCATACATACAACTTGATCCCTGAAGCCTTGTTCATTTCATTTGAAACAAATGCCACCTGACCTCTCTTGCTGTAATCTTTATCCATTTAACACTAATTGCACACTGACTGAATCAGCAAAGTATTCAAAAAGGCTCATCTACATGTACATCTACAGTGTACATGTACCGAACCTACAGTGCGTACTCTACTGATGGCATAATACCTTTTCATATGCAGTATGAGTCTTCAACACACAATTACATGACTTGCAGAAAGAAGTTACGACAGTGTAACTTACAAAATCTGCTACAGCACACAAGCTAAGATAATGCAGAACAGCTATTTGTTATGTACAAGTACATGTATGTACACCATGCTACATTGTTTGAATAAGATTACATGCACCATCTCATTAACACGGCAAATTGGTATTCAATAAGATTAGTTGAACAAATGAAAGAAAGGTGACTTGAAAATGTAAAAGTCATGAAAGAAGGAGGTGTACAGTCTAGGTTCCATCATGTTTAATAACTTTAAAATGGTGCTCAATCCAAGACAAAGAACTTTTAGCACCCCATTCTTCTCGTAAGGAAACAAAGTCTACTTTAAAACGAACCACCTAGATACCGGTAAGTTGGTGGTTATGTCCTCTTTCATATCAGAAAGACTTGTTTGTGAAGAGGACAGGGCTTTGATTTTCGACATGTCTGAGGGAAATTATGGGGTAATACGGCAGCATCTACATGTATATGTACATGTACATGTATGTGACATGACGAAGAGGTGTGAACAAAGATGAATTAGCGAATGTACTTGAAATCTGGTTCCTTAACCTGTATGAAGATTATTGATGAATATTGATGAATCTTAGTACATATTCACTATGGCTGGGAACGGTAACCAGACTAGTGGTGAATCATCAGCTGATTTGAAACAAAATGGCGTGACCCAACTGAGCAACTGTCAAGTGGCAAACGCAAGTATTTCCAGAACTGTAAGGTTTATACAAACCTTACGGATAGCAATGTACAAACTCACAGTTTTGGTTGTTTCGAATGTGTCAATGTACTCTACCATCACAGGTATTTGTGCAATGAAATGATTGGTCATTGGAACAGAAGCAAATAGGGCCAATCACAACACAACTTTCATCTGTGGGTGACAGGAAAACAACAAGGAAAAGATAGGAGCTGTGTTGCAATTGGTCAAGCTGCCATGCTGCTGACAACAATCGAGAGAGTACATGCTGCTGATTTTATGTTTTCATGAATTTCACCATTTTAATGAGATAAGGTGAATAAACCTCTCTAGACATCTGACTTCACCAAGAAGGATGTATGACGTTTTTTACACAAAATGATGGCAAACTAAGTTGACATCATCAAAATAGCCAAAATTAGGTTTGTACAGGCCTCAATCTTACAGTTGTGGAAGTAAAATGCAGACTAAGAAAATTGTGGGTGTTTAACTTAAATATTGTCAAGATTTATTTACCTAAACTAGAGCTGTAAGGATTGAGGAAAAGACATGACGGAACTCCAGGAAAAAATGTCAGTTATTTTATAAAAGAGGACTTGGTGTATGTAAAATCCTGGACCTTGTAGAGTATAATAGTAGAAGTAGAAGTACTGAAATCGGGAGATTTTGCACTGTTATTATTATAGGAATGAAGTGCAGAGTGCTAAAAAGCAAGGAACACCCTTACACATAGAAACTTATAGAACTCGAAGTCCAAGTCTTTACTCTGTGTGAGTAATGACTTCTTACTCTTCAAAGTTCTCTAAGTAGGCCCTAACTCTAAGCTTCAAACTTTTCGACTCCTGAAGTTTTCTTGAAGATAATGACATTTTCGCAGTGTTAGGCTAATGAGCAGTTTGCACAATCAGCGATTGTCACCACAGAAAAGTGACACTCACTTTGCATTCAGTATCTGGTTAGCACACTGGGGGGACTGGTTCCATTGACTCTCGAATCTAAACAGAGGAATCTGAGCAGGTGCACACAGCCAGAGACGCATGTTCCGCGCATTCGATGCCTTGCCCAGGCAAATCACTCGGCCTGTCGTCACCCCTACACACTGACAGAGTGAGGTCCTTTTAACGCATTGTTTCTCAACAACTATGGGAACTGGGTCGTAACGAGAAACTCAAAATGCCTTACCGAATACAGATGAGGATGTTCAAGCTCGTCTCTGCGAATTTGCAACACACGTTCAGCAACAACTGGGAGACATTCGATCTCGATCGCTCCCACTCAACCTTGCCCCGGCCCTACAACTTACAATCCGCGCGCCGTGTAAATTTTACCCCACATAGCTTGAATTACAATTGTCCCAGCTCTCTTCGCGCGGATCAGGAGACACGGTCACCAAAGTACTGTAGGGGCGTCACAAGAGGCTGATCGCCAGGCTATTAGGGTGCTGTGTAGCGCACGCCATACCCATGCACAAAGCTCTCTGAAGTCAAAAGGAAAGGACTGTACCAAACTTTTCCTAGGGGTTCCTATGAACGCACGAAAGTTTCCTTGAGAAAATTCACATAACAAAACAACAGAGGGGGTAGTTTCGATTTTTGTCCGTCAGTAAGGCAGGATTTTAGGATCCTCCTGCTTAACAATCGCATAATAATGAACTTCGAGCATTATTTTCTTCTTTGTTTTCAATATAAAACCAACAAAATGCGGGAAGGTTCAAGGAGGACATGTGAATGTAAATTGTGAACTGCAAATTTCCTTTAAAACATTGCAAAAAAATGGTTACTAGTTGATCTGATGGCAATATACTTGAACAAAAAATGAATCAACAAAGAAAAAGAAATTTCAAACAGAAAAACACACACATAAAAATCCAGGCAGTCTGTGAACACAAATTAATACAGGTTTTTCTCAGTAAAATGATATCAAACCTTTCGCATTGATATGGAAATTAGCAAAAAAAACAATGCATTTTCAAGGACAGTAATAAATGCATAAACCTTTTGACAAGCACTCCCGTCGCAATAGCTTCAAACCGCTGGAAATGGACGCCACTCGGGAACGGGTAGGGGTCTTTGTGAACAGGGGCGAGTGCAAGACGATTATAAGATGAGAAACCCCCCCCACTCCGTATTACACAATGGAAGCAAAGCTACACGCATCGACACTTACAGTACTGCCATAGTTTATGTGGTCCCTGAATGAAAGATATTTGGGGCGTATTAAGGTTCTCCTACCCACAATCCATTCACAAGTAAAGAGTGAGACCTTCGTCCATTTGATTATCAGGGACAAGTATACTCTAGTCGTTAAGGTCAAGCTTTTAAAAAAAAAGAAAAAAATGAGCTACACCATCAGCGGTTAGCTGATGTTATATATGTCTCATTGATAAAACCAAAAGGTGAGAATTCATTTCCACAACCCCTTCCCCCAGGGATGCGCGTGCAGGTGTGTAACATAGATCCGGCTAGTGGGGAATTTATGCAACAGCTGGCTGTACATTACAAAGTGGAAGCCAGTATACGACTGTCATTTGGCTCATTAAATGGGGGCACAGCGCGACTCACGTTCAAAAGTACATGTACTTCCAACAACAGACTCTACGGCTGACGACTTTACAGGACATTATGAAGCAAAATTATGGGACGGAGTGAACCCCCCCACACACACACACCTTTGTGTTGGTCAATAATCGATCGCCTTTCAGGAGTTCTTCACAGACATCTAGGGGGATGTGTTAGGTAACAATAGTCTAGAGTGTGTATAGGGATTGGATATGAAAGGGGGGTACCCCTCTGTCCCATATCTTGCTGGGTATACTCATGGAGCTATATATTAAACAGTTCCATGGGATACTACAGGAAACAGCCCAAAAGTTTTGTCTGACTTTGAGCGGCGTTCCATTGTTCATCCATCCATACTCAATAGATAGCCAATGCACCTACACAGGGTAACATAATTTTAGGCATACGTGACTACCGGTGCAAGATTGATCGCTGCAGGGGAGGGCCTGGGGGCACGTACCCTCGCCCAAAAAAATCCCGGTGGCCCCGCCCCCCAAAAAACACGGGCGAATTGATATTTAACAAAACCACACCACTGAAAGCTGGTCCCCCCATAAGATGCTGGCGCCCTCTTTGCACCCCCCGTAAAATCCTAGCTACGCCACAGCGCTGGGAGTGATTCAAACGACGACTGGAGAGCAACTTCCCCTCTTCGTTTTCGGAACGTTTATTACAATGCGTATGTATAATCATAGACCTGAATGGTATAATCGAATACTGTAATGCTGTCAGAGGAGTGCTATACAGAATATGGAACTGTATACGGGGAAACAAACAAAACGGACAAATCCATCGTGCGTACCGTATCACCGCATAACTAACAGGAACGCTACATTTCAAAGTACGTTCTTGGCGACACGGTTCTCATTGTTTCCTCTCGTCGCGGCGTCCTGTCTTGCCGTCGAGAGGACAAAGTAGGCCTACGCGCGCAAAGAGCTAGACGACAAGCTCAACGCGATCGAGGCGTGTCGTAAATTACGGCGTGTGAAATTGACATTTAATCTGAAATAGCAGAAATGTGCGGTGAACCAAGAGAAGAAAAAAAATAAAATGGAAACTGCAAACTTAATCCAAACTTCTGCCAGCAGAAATTTTGAAAATGGTTGTCGCAACTGCTAGTAATTTTGCAAAATCTATACTACTTTGGGGATTCGAAAGTGTTCCAGTCCAATGGATAATTTACTATGGCAAGAACAATTAACAATTAATTCCAAAATTGAGATGTCTAAATTTCGAGACGTGTAAAGTTGGCTTCTGCAGTAAGTTCAATTCCAACAGTGACCATTTACTTTTAAGACTTCTGAGACGGTAAGACAGCCGTTAATGTCACAATCAAATCTCTGCCTGACTTCAGAAAATTGTAACTCTGTTTGCCAAAAATTGGAAATGTTCGTTTTTTTAAATTTTTTTTCATCACATCAATATCCACGTCCCTTATGAGTTGCGTCTTTCGTGGTGAGGGATCTTGTATGCCCTTTGACCCTGCAAGCTATGCCGGTGGGGGTCTTATACCCTTGGCAGGTCCCCCAAGCCGGACAGGTTAACGGGTAGGGGCTAGACGAAATACAACTAAGGGTCTCTCGGGAGGCAAGTTGGAGGAAGTCCCTCCGCCTGTCTAGTCTGCTTTGGGCCAACAACCCCTCCAAATGAACCTTTCTTCTGGTTACGGCACCATACTCCATAACCTCTGTTTCTACCCCTGCGCTCTTGTCTGCCTCAGGACCCGATGACGTGGCCTCCCTAAACACTAACGGGCGGGTTGACACCGATGCACCTACTGGCAGTCGGAGCACTGACATCTTCCGCCACTTCCATCGATTTGTTTCCTTGAACATCCTGACCTTGAATGGTCCTGGACACCTGTCCCTTCTGAGCAGCGCCTGAACATCGTGGCAGCAGGCCTTCAGGAGGTTCGATGGCTGGATTTAGGAGAGACCGACGCTGGGAAGTACATGCTGCTCTGGAGTGGCCTCAGTTTACTGCACGTTCAGGGTGTCGCGATCGCCCTCCACCACCGGGTGGCTGCTTCTTTGGTCACCTGGAAACCATTGGGCCCTCAGCTTATTTACGCCAGACTGCGTCACACCTGCGGCTTTGTCTCCGTTGTCTGCTGTTATGCCATAACTGAGATAGCTGATGACACTGACTGCGTACAACATGAGCTGCAGCGGATCTCCAAGCATGGTGTTACCGTTGTGCTGGGTGATTTCAACGCGACTGTTGGCGCAAACCGACTGGCTTCAGGAGTATCCTGGGACCGCACCCTGCTGGAGCGGCGAATGACAACGGCTTAATAGACTCCTGGGATTATCTGCAGCCGCAGACGTCCGTATTGCTTGGCCCTTGTTCTCACACAAGTTCATCCATCAGCTCACCTGGTACTTTGATGATCACCAGGAAGACCACTGACCATATCCTGGAAAACTCTCACGGATTTCCGGGTTTATCGCAATGCCAAGTTTGGCCGTACTGACGATCGCCCTGTGCAGGCCACTATCCGGGTAAAGCTTCGTCGTCACATTTCAGCTGCACCAAAGCGACTGCGCTATGGCAAAGACGGCTTAGCTAGAAATGCAATCCTGTTTGGTCAGACTGTCACGCAAAAACTGGCTGAGGGTCCTCCACACACTGACCATGCACTGACATAGAGGCCTCCTGGAATTTTGTTCAGTCGGGCCTTACATCTAGTGCCACTGAGGTTGCTGGACAGCCTGCTCGCCGCAAGCCATGGATCTCTGACCGGTCTCTTCAGCTAGTGGACGAATGTCGTAAAGCAAGGCTTGACAGACGGCTGGATGCCTACCGAGACATGTGTCGGGAAAGACGATATAGCATACGACTGGATAAAGAAATCTGGAAGAATAAACTGGCTCAAAGCGCAAAGCGCTGTCACGCACCAGAACATCATGCAGAGCAGCCTTTAGATACATCCGCTCACTGTACAGCGATGACAAAAAGTTCTGTTCCCCTCTGCTTGCGACAGATGGTTCGCTCCTGACCGACACCCAGTCCAAATTGCAGCGCTGGAACGAACACTATTCTGCAACTCTTAACAAACCCTCACCCCCTGCTGATGTCCGTCCGCAGGCCTTCGCAGATCCTGGTATATATGCCAGATCCTACCATCTACAATGATCCGCCAACCGCGGAGGAGATTGCATCTGTGGTCCAGACGTTTCTCAATGGAAAGGCGCCGGACCCGATGATGCCATAGCCGAGATACTCGAGGCTGCCATCACTCCGGTCTCACGGTATAGTCAGTGAGTCTGGGGCTGTTCCTGAGTCATGGCGCGATGGAATCATCGTTTCCCTGTATAAAAACAAAGGTAACCGCCGTCAGCCCTTGAGCTACAGGCCCATCACCATGCTGTCAGTCCAAGAAAAGTTGTCACACGGGTCATCCACCAGCGGATTCTTCCTCTCCTCTTGGAGAAGCGCGAGCCTCAAGAAGCTGGTTTTACCCCATCTTGCTCCACCACAGATTGCATTCCTGTTTTACGTTACTGGTTGAGCAACGCCGAGAGTTCCACCGTCCTCTTACAGCTGCTTATGTGGACGTGAAAAGCACCTTCGATTCTCTGGATGGACGAGCATTATGGCTATTTCTTCAGGGAATTGATATTCCTCCAAAACTGCTATGCCTCTTAAGAGCTCTGCACACCAACACCAGCGTTTTCGTTACGGAAGGTTCATCTATATCTGCGCCCTTCTCCACAATAGTCGGTTTGCGTCAGGGATGTGTAGCAGCACCGAACCTCTTCAACGTGGCAATTGACTATTGTTTGAACAGGAGATTGGAGGTTTCGGCAGGTGTGGATGTGGACTACCATGGCACTATCACGGACCTCTCCTATGCAGATGATGTTGGGCTGCTTGTTGAGCTGGCCCAGATTGTGCAGTGCAAGTTTTTCAGACCATGGCCGTCGAGGCTGCCCCTCTTGGCCTGACAATAAGCTGGGCAAAGACCAAGGTTCAGTCCTTTTCGGACTATCTGCCTCAGCCGCCGGCAAGCACGGACGTACGTGGGCAGTCCCTTTGTTCACTCGAGTGAGGCATAGCAGGCTGCAGCTCCTGGGATATGTTGCTGGCCTTCCTCAAGACGTCCCTGCTAGACGTATATGCTGGGGGTGCCTCAAGCCCCCCCCCCCAACTGGCTGGCTACACCCTCGCGGGCGTCCATGGGCAACCTGGTCGTCCAGGTTACTACCTATACCCATGGCTAGTTAGAGACATTGCTAAATACAGCGCTGGGTCGAGACAGGCTCCGGAGCTTGGCTGCAACGGTCACATAGTGGCCATGCACGCTTTCAGTTTTAGTTTTAGTAATTTCTAAGGGGGGGAATTTGAGATTTTCTCGTTTAGTAAGTAGAACTATTGTGTAGAAGACACCGTGTATTTTAACCAACGGAATGTACTCTTATGCACGAGAATGTTTCAGCCTATTTCAGCAACCTTAACTGAAAGCAAAACTTAATGATTATCATGCTAAAGGCGCCTCTCCACCTGCCCGAGAACACTTGCGCGAGGCGTTACACATCCGTAAAAATCGCTCCCGGTGCAATTTTGACGCACACGTGTGTTATGTTAATGAGTCGATTAGGCGCCTTTCCATATTATGTACGTTTTTCGTCCCGTATACACGATGCGTTCATGCGTTTCCCTTTCACAGACCCAAAAATCCACTCCATCAACATAATAACACACGTACGTGTGCGTTGCGTTTGGCCGTCAGAATCGCCCATGAGCGATTCTGACGGATATGCAACACTTCGCGCAAGTGTTGACGGGAAGATGGATAGGTGCCTTAAAAGTGAAATGCAACTAACGCATTGTGTACACAACACACCCCAAACACGTACATAAAAATACGTACACACGAAATGCCGACTTTTCAGCCCCCCCCCCTGCACGCATGGTGTACACAGTGGCGCTCCCCCCCTTCCCGCATACGCATTCCACAAGTATTGAATTATCAGGGTACTTTGCTTTAGCATCACTAAATGTCACAGTACATTGTACATTTACTGTAGTACTGTTATTCGCACGTCGCTTCCTAATTCTGAAATAAATTACCAAAGTAATAATGGGTTTTTATATCGGTATTTCTTGATTCACAGGTCTGGAAAATATTCACCTGGCAGCTTAAAAAAAGGTGCTGAATAAAAGAAAAATGATCCTAGTGACTTTTTTACTCTTATGCACGTAATTACTTTGCACCATAGGTTTAAATAAAACAAGGGAAAATATTACCGTTTTGCACCTTAGAAAAACGATGTCGTATTAAAACATGCTCAGGTAAAGCCAAATAATCATCAGTCGTTGACTTTTACTAAACCGTGGGAATGTTGCAGGGTTGTATACATTTTTAGCTACAATGTGATACTGCCGCACGGATGAGGTCACCTGTACGTTTCTGGAAGACGCTGCCAGTCTTCGTGTCATGAGTAATATTGCAGTTTGTATGGGCGTTGGCACGGGAGGATAATTGGTGCGGTGGACGGTCGAGAACACTGTGTTTGAATGGTTTTTGACGCAAAAAAAGCTAATTCTGGTATTAACGTGTATGAGAAAATGTATTGATGTGATGGAGATTCATTAAGTAAAAGCAAATGTCGGTTTGCGTGCGGTACTTAAACTCCCCCTCCCTACGCATGGTGTACGCAACAGCACCCCCCCTGTGCGTTCTTTATGGACATCCCCTTACGATGCTTTCACATCTACTCGCGTCACTGATGCTCAACCAAAGACTGTACCCTCGCGCAGGGAGTCATCGCACCGTGGAGGCGTATCGCTGTACACAGCTTACACCGAGTCCAAAGGCTGCCCCCTTCGATTTCTTGCATAGAGACGCCCTTTGGCTCCTTCGCCAAGGTACCGGAGCCCCTCTTAATTTAAATACACCTGCATCCTGCAGGACCTCTATTCCCGCCCCTTCTGCAGGGTACCAGCTGAAGGCAGCATTATCGGATCCCCCTAACCACTTATTAGGAAATAGGGAGGACTGTGCTGCTGCACCAAGCCTCTTAAATGTCGCAGTCGACTATAGAATTCTACCTCCATGATTGAACTGTCTGGTGGAGCGTTACTTTGTTCTCGGTGACGGTTACCACTTCTACATGTAGTTCACCGACCCCTGCCGTTATGCAGACAATGTTGTGCTCCTCGCTATTCTGCTGGACATCTTAGCTGAGACTTTGCACGGGAAGCTCCGGTAGCGGGTTAGAATCACCCTCAGCTGGAGGAAGGCAAAAGTTCAGCCCCTGTCCGACTTCCTATACCGCAAACCACAAGGGCAATCAACATCAACTCTAAGTGGGTCAAAGCCTCGGATGTCGAATTCATCTACCTTGTCTCAAAAATATCAAAATGACTGCTCATCGGATCTAGAGATAACCAGTCCCTCCAACGATGAATTCGATGAATTCACCCGGTGTGGCGTAGCGGCAAGATCTGCATAACCATCAAAATCCGCATCCTGATTTTGTTGCTCCGCATCGACACCTGCGTCCTTCCCGTTCTTCCCTACGGCGGCGACTGAAACATTGCCCCCCTCCAGAGTTAACCAATTGCTGCCTCGATGCCGACCACCGGTCCTGTCAACGCTTCACTCTTAGCATCCATAAGTACCACCACGATTACGACGAAGTTTATGTAAGAGCGGGTGCTCCTACGCCCGTCCATCAGCATTTTGAGGCTAATTGGCAACGTGGAGCGGTCTGGCAAAGTGAGTGCTCACCGCAGCATTCCACCCACCCCTAGTGTTGTCCCACGGGAAATCCCTGCGTCACTTGAGCATCTGAGATTGCAGTCAAAAACCTACATGTACATGTATTAGGCGACCTCCTTGCCTTAGCCCAAAACAAGGGAACAGTCCACTAATTCAAGCCCCATTGGAAATAGTGTTAAATCAGCACTGTTCAGGGTCCAATAACATGCACGCCAACATCTCTGAAATTTCTGAAACACAAATGAAGTTCTTGTCTGCTCATTAATCTTTCAGTTTCAATATTTGTGGGTTAACCAATTACATTTTTAATTATTCCTACAAAACAAAATCACCCCCCAAAAAGAGATTTTTCCGAAGTCTGATTGCAGCCATTTCTCAAGTGGCAACCCTCAACTTTCTAGGGCACGCAGGACCATTTTTCAACCGTAGTTTCTAGCCATTCTGCTCTCATATGAAAGCTCAAAGACCCAGGGAGTTCATCCTGTCAGCGATTTACACAATCTCAACATTTTTGGGGCCAAACAATCTCCTTCTTCAAAAGAAGAAATACTTTTAATACTAATGAGCTGGCCAGAAATTCTCACTTGAATTAGTGGTCTGCACCCACAAGATTGACGGATCGGCAGACACCTGATCGCTAAGGTCACTTTAGTGGCCCTAGCTGTGACCTCAACCAATAATACAAAAAGTAACACTGAAGGCGCCACTTTTCTTGAAAAATTAGGAGAGTACTATTAGAGATACGATGGTGAGGGTATTGGGACGCTAGGACGCGACCGTCACCACGCGGCGAAAGGAGGAGGCTTTTGCAGGTGTGGTGTCGGAATGTCGATCAGAAATCTTAACACCTCCTGTACATGCACTCAGTAATGCGGTATAATAATCTTACAGCGTGCATACAATGGTATCAACAAAAACAGCGTTTTGACGAGTAGGCGAACCTTATCTCACGGCGACTTTAATCATGCGTGATCAGGATGTGTCGGGTCAAAATTTATGAGTAATAAATCAATTAATGTCCAGAGTTGTAATGACTCGAATCTCTGACTCGAATTGAGTCCGATGCGAGTCACAACTTTTGGCGACTCAAATCGACTTGAGTCCCGACGGGTAATTGACTCAATTCGGGTCACCGCGAGCAAATGATTCAACTCGACTTTAGCCCCGAGTGAAAATTAATAAGACTCGAGCCCCCATCAAACTTTGCGAAAAAATGTAGTGCCAGTTTATAATGTGTATGTCGTGTTTTATAATCAAGCGTAAGATGCGGTGAGGCCACAGAGAAACCTAGAGGTAAATTTAAAATTGCCCCAAATGACTTTCTCTCTTACCTTAATTTGTCCAATTGTGTCCAAATAATTATTTGTGACTTGAATTGACTCGAACTAAATACTTGACTCGACTCACTCAACTCGATGTTGGTCCTAATCAAAGACCCCACTCGACTCAAGTCACTATATTTCAACGATCGGCTTACAAAAATTAGTGACTTGTTACAACTCGGTTAAAGTCACTGACATTTGAGCACCATTGTGAGTGTAAGACCAACGGTCAAATGCAACGTGTGCAATGAACCAGCCGGGGATGGTATTACATTTGAGGTCTTCCCTGATTTTAGGTTGTGCATTATTTTTTTTTACTAAATTCGCAACGTTTTACAGTAATTACTGCGAGTAACTTGAAATTCTCAATGACTTGACTGCAGTCGAGTCAGTTTAATACCCAGGGACACAAATCAAGCTGATCAATTGTGACTCAAGTTGATTCTTTAACCCGGGTCATCAACACCTCGAATAAAATAATTTGTTACGAGGGTTTGGTTGTCTTTTTTATTTTGGGGTGGGGTCGCTATCCAGGTTATTAAAGGGCTCACCCCTGTAAATAGGCCACACTCACACAAAAGAAATTTTAAAAAAGATATACAGTCAAGATTTTCTAGACTAGAGAGTCATGGAATTGGAGAATTAAAGAAATACTGCACTGACACTCTGGCCGAGACTTAGGAATTCCAGTTCTGAGCAATTTTGATGCAATCGGGTCCAAAACTGGCACTATATAGCCGTTTCGCAGAGGGATGCATTTTCAAAATGGCTACTTCTCTGGGCAGGGAAATTTCCTTCATTTTAGGGGTGGTTTGCTTTGGGTGAGAATTTCTCAAAAGTTCAACCCACTAAAATTGAAGGTAAATGTAAGGGGACAATTATGTCGAACATAATTTTTCGCACGGCCTTATCATCTGTTATAGTTGTGAGTATTTTTCAAAGAATTTTGAAGTATAGGAATTTATCACTGGTGTCACTAGAAATTTAATGACGGGGTGCGCCCTATCTTGTAAAAAAAATCGGAACTCGACAACAAAGTTAAATACCGCCACCTGTTGGCCTACCATTGATCACAACCGATGCAGTAGGCTGGTATCCAGTTCTGAACACTTAAGAAGGGAATACTGGTCTGGTAACTTTTTAAAGCTTACAAGGCGCGAGCACTGCAAGCAAAAAATGGTGCATTCACTGTGTACATGTACATATGTAGACAAGTACAAAAGTTCTAGGCCTACATTGTACATCATTCATAGTGTACTGGACATCCAGGTGCATCGAAGGTTTGGTATTTGAATTTTGAAATAGAGAAGCGTAATGGCGACGAGTGAAGTCCCCAATGATCGGCTCCGATCTTCAGTTAGTAGCCATGGAAGTATGGACGGATCGGGGATAAAACAAGAACAGTTTCGTTCTAAAGCGATTCTGCCGTGGGACAGACTGTCCAACTGGCTCCACTGTGTCTGCGTAGTCACATTCGATTTGGAGTTAGGTCAAGCTTTGGAGGTAGGCCTAGGCCCAAGTACTAACTTCGGAAGAGTTCCATATACGAACAGATGGACGCCACTTGACGCCCCGTGCACGTGCACAAACGCAATGAGACTGGTCTGAAAAAGTGTTTTCTAAGTAGGCCTAAACTTCCCCCCCCTCCTAAATGGAACTTTTCTTGACATGTTTTTACTCTCCGAAGGCTAGTTCACTGTAGGGAATAATTACCGGCGTCCGTATATATGGAACTCTTCCCCTAACTTCAAATAGGTGGGGAGGAGGCCTACTTTGAGGACTCAAAGTCACTACCTGACTACTCCGTCATAACTCTGTGTGACTTTGAGCCAGTGCATTTTACATGGAGTTGAAACGCTATGTTTTTCAATGAAACTTGATAGTAGCCCTGCTAGTGTGGCATGAACTCTCACTTCCGATCCATCCTTAGCCACACATCCATATAGGCAATTTCGTGTCGGCATACTGAACATTTTCGTTGCACCCACTTATCATCGTGGGCGCAATTTCTTTTGCACACAGAAATGATCCTTAGCCTTTCTGCTTTCTTAGGGCCATTTATTGAATGATTTCACTCATGTTGTTCTGGTATGTTCAAGTCTTTTTGCCTTCACCCATTCAATCTCACGGGCTTGCTCTCACAGTCGCCATCTTTAAAATAAGGTCGTTGAACATTACGTCACTTGACCCCTCATCGTCTTGATGGCTGTTTCATGTTAAGACATCTAATCTGCTGCTCAAGTTTTGGAAGAGCCCATTGGTACATGTACAATGTAGTATCTTATCGCTCAGTCTATGTATTAGATATGTCTTGACATGGAACAAAAAGACTTCAAACTTCAAACCAACCACAAATTCAAACTCCCACCCTCTTGTTTTGATGGGGGCTGGTACCATGTTCCTTATTAGCTCAGCCATGTAATCACAGGGTTATTGAAAGTGAATTGAATAATTGGTGCACACAATATGATGTGGTACATGTACATGTATTTGTTTAATGCTGACTGTAATGTATAAAACATGTACATGTACATACATGTAAATGTGTGATCAGATAAAAACAAAATACACACTTAAAAATACTGTAATATTTGACCATGCACTAGTTTTTCCTGCAATACTTTTTTCTCACAGAGGGAATCAAGTATGGAATTGTTGCCATGCCGGCACATGTACATGTATCAATTTGTGATTTAGTCTCATGGTTTGCCATCAGTTAGTGTTTGTTGGAGTCATTGAGCACATGTTTCTCAGAGTTAGGACTAAGTTGGGACTAAATTTTTGTAGTAATGAATGGCATGCCGGTAGTCCAGAAAACAATTCAGATACCAAAATGTCACACGGGTGGAAGTTGCATGAGGAATATCAAGGCTGTTTTCACCATCATAAACTACCTGATACACAATGTACTTGACTTTCTGATTTGCTACTAGGGGTTAGCTTTTCACGATGCAAGGTTCCTCAATCCTGCATTAATTCACCCACCAGTACTTGTATTTGTTTCAGGAATCCTAAGTCTTTCCACCCAAAGAAAATGTTCATATAGTCCTGGATTACATGTGTGCCATTTCCCATTTGTGTCAGTGAGGTACATGTAATATAAATTAAATATTACACCTTTGTTTTTAGAATGATTTTTTTCCAATTATATTTCATGAATGTAACAAATATCAGTTGTGCATACTTGGTGCTGTCTGAGATCCTTTGAGAAAATATACATGTATATTTATATATAATAATTACCGAAAATGGGTCACTTGGGAGACATTCCCATAGGAACGTGCACAAAATTTTTCAAACTTTACCGTCCCATAAATCAGTATTCCCTAATCCGATCTTTATCAAACTTTGCATGTTTTCCTTTCAGACCCTAATCTATCATCTCTCAAAATGTGGACATTAGAAATTTTCCTCCTTTTGGTACATTGTCGTTGGAGCATTAGGGAGACATTGAAATGTCTCCCTCATGACCGATGTCTCCCTAATGTTGAAAAATTTACCACAAAATGTCTCCCAAGTGACCTATTTGGAAATATATATACATGTACATACAAGATCACTTCAGTGAGACCTCCTGCTTACATGTGTTACTTACATAATCCTTTTTACAATTTTATCATAGGGCTTTGCAGGGTCTTTCTGCCCAATTTTAAGTTATGTACATGTACAATAGTGTAAAGCTTGTCAAAATTTTGATAAATACATAATAACTAGAAATAGAAGTAAAGCAAAACAAATTTACAAACTGACACATACATGTACATCAAAATGTTGATGCACATACATGTACATGGGTGTAGATGTACATGTACGGTACATGTTTTGAAACAAACTCCATTGGTACATGTAGGAGAGGTGCATGTACATGTATAACCTACCAGATTCAGCATACTACCGAATAATGATCATAGATTTGGAAGGCCATATTAATCAGTGTGTAAAGGATCTTTGCTTCTTTTGTTTTCTCTATTGTCATTATTTTACAGCGTCATGTATTCATAAAGCAAATGTTTGTCTTTGCTTTGCAGTTTGTCTACCCAAGCCATGTGAAACTATCTGAGAAGGAGGTATGTGCATGTGTGAAGTTTATAATGTACAGTACATTGCAATAGAATGATAACCTGGGAGTGGGAAATTCTTTTCACAGAATGTTCAAACAATTTCCCACAGTGGGAAACCTTTCCCCACTTGTTTGCACAAGTGGGAAAACTGTTCACGTTTGTGAGAAAACATTTCCATTCCTTTTTACACATACAGAAAAACATTCCCATCTTTTCGCACACAAAGGAAAAGATTCCCCATGCCGTTTCACACAAGCGGGGAAGATACGTTCACACCTTGTGATTTATGCAACTGCGTGAAATGTAAATTTTGTTCATAATATTTCTCACTCCCATTGATGGTGTTCACTTCCCAATGCAGTGTACTCTCCAGGGTGTAATCTGTTGGCTGTGTGTTGAATCGGTCACCTTCCAAATCAGTGGCTTATTTGTAATGAGCACTGTCACTGGATTATGTACTTGTTGCAAGATTTAAAGAAGTATCGGTACACCATTGCTGATGATGCACAAATGGAGCAAATACAAACATACATGGCAGCTCAGAAGTGTTAAAATATTTAGTTGACTGTGCACTTGCAGCAGTATACAGTATTATTTGTCCTCTGTTGTAAGATGCCACGTTTTAATAAGGACTTGATTGAACTTATGCACAACCTAGCCGTATTGAGTGTGTGTGAGGATGAAGTCACACCATGAGGCCAAAAACCCAGTCCGACAAGAATGGTGCACCTACGCACATAGCCCTGGGTATAGTTTGTACATGGTTTCTGATACAAATCAGAGTGTAAGCTTTTCATGTGAATACATGTATATTGTGACTTTGTATTTAGAAATTGATGAATGAGTGTGTAATGGACATTGCAGAGTTCATCACTCATGTTCAGTCTGAGGGACGTGTACCATGAGATCAATTTGATTGTCCTCTAGGCTTTTACATCAGTCTGTCTGCACACTGAAGTTCAGTGGTATTCCTCAAGATAATTAACACAATGAATGTCAGTGCCCAAACTTTAGACTTCAAAATAAAAACACACGTGGAGATATATTTAAGACATGAAAAATTCCCGTAAATTCTGCTAGCTTGAATTACAGTGTATCTTTGTACTTTTTCTGACTGAACTATACAAATTCAACACAAAAATGCAAGGTGAGCCTGTTTGTGATTATTTTTCAATCAATCACTTATCAATCAATATTAAGGGTTTTTGTTTTCCTGATTGTACTGCACCATGAGCATCTCTCGAGGCGGAAACTGGCACGTTATACCGGTACATGTAAAAATATATTATTATTATTATTATTAATAACACTTTGGCTACAGTTTTGAATAATTGAACTCTACTAGTAATTTCTTGCCCATGCTAATTTCTATATGGGGTGTAGTTAACAGTTAAAGAAGAAAGCGATCTGTCTTGCAGTCACCTACATGTACATGTACCGTGTCAACCATACTCTTTCTTGTCTGCCGTGTAGGGGTCCATGGTGTTTTGCTCACCCAAGTGTGTCCTGCACAAAACTCCAACTTTTCGGAACAAGAGAAAAACCTTCTGAAAACCAACCTGCTATCAGTGAAGTATGATAAAAATGGCCCAGTAATTAACAATTTTAAAAAAAGATACATGTAGCTGTAGCAAAAATAGTCCTTCACTGACCCCTGCAGCACATCACACTTGTACCGTATGTACACTACACATGAACTGACATAGTACCAGTGTGGCTGTAATGACACTTTCAACCATTGGAAAGAGCAAGGTAATGTACATGTACATATATACTCCCTGGGATAGGCCTACATCACTCATGTATTAGTACAACAGCAAACGTCGCTCATGTACATGTACATGTAGTCGTGATCTGCAGTACATTACATATATTTTGTTTGTGGCATTATACTTTAAACTTTTTCCTCAAAGGCCTACAGAATGCTGCAGACCAGTTTGCACATGACAGCAGAAAACATTTGTATTTTTCTAAACACATACATTTTACATACATACATGTACAATTTATCTATGTGGACATTGTGGTTGCCTGAGTCAGATCATTTCATTACCATTCATCATCCACATGTACATGGTCAAGCACATGTTACTACATATACCATAAAAATTACACTGGCAAAGAATCTTAGTGAATTTGTGGATTTATTGATTTGCTCTTAAGCATACATGTACATGTACATACATGTACATCCATGGTATATTGCATGTGTCTCCCTCTTTCATTGCTCAACCGGTAACAAAATATGCTGAAAATTTAGTTATTTTCTTTCAAATGTTACTTTGTGGAAGATACATGTACTTTTTTTTTCCTCAATCAAACAGGTGTAGTTTGTATACCCGTAGTTTGCAGTATTTCTGTGGTACTCCACCATTACTGCGTGTTCTGGGGCAGTTTTCCAATACTCAATTTCATCTCCGTCTCAGGCTTCGTTCCCAAAACCAATTCCCGATTGTGGGCCTGAAGCGTTTAAATTTCATTGGATTACTGTATTTTTTGGCTCTCTTGCATTTTATTTGATGTTCTGTGGCACTATTACACTGATTACTGTGCTTACAGCTTCAAAGTCGGCTAGTAAAAAACAGTTGGAGCCTAAGATGGAGCCGAAGTTGAGTATTGGAAAACGGCCATAGTAACCTCATGGGGGTACTATGATTAGATTGATACATGTATGTAACCCAAATGAAGTAATATGCTGTAGCAAGGGAAGCAATTTGTTCTCCATTCATGAAAACTACTGGTACCGGGACATGTACATGCATGTGATTTGTTTTCTCTCTTTGGGCAATTTAAAAAGCTTACAAGTACACATGTACTGTAAATGTAGTAATCATTGTTGGGGCTTGAAATGACACCCACTGAACCATACACTGGTCAAGTATACCATTGTATGCTTTTTGTACATATATAAAGAGAGGTGGGGTCTTCTTGGTTACATGTATGTTGATTAATGTTAATAGCATAATGGAAATATAAATGTAGATGGGTCATTTTCAGTAGGGCTGAATCAATTCAAATAATTCACTCTTCAAATATTGGACCTTCAATTCAATCAAATATCCAAATATTCAGTTGCACCAACTGGTAGATTGTTGATGAACAAACCAAAATCAGTTGCAGTAACATGCCGGTATGCAGTTATACATTACAATCATTGTAATATACATGTAGCTTCTCATGTCTAGGAGTATCTCCAGCTACGATTTAGCAAATTGAAGAGGCGAGCAATACTTGTTGCCCTGATGAACATTTCTGTTCCTTTTAAATTTTTGAATGAATAATTTACTTTGTGAATCATTGTAATCATTGCTTTCATTTGAATCTGCTTGAAACAAGCCTCCATAGCTGCCTCAGACTGCAACTTTTCTCATTTAAAATAACAGAAAAATCTCCCTTCCTTTTCATGAATTTTGCATTCAAATATTAAAATTGGGAAAATATTTGAATATTCGATAATCAATCCGATATTTGGCACAGCCCTACATGTAATTTTCAGAGGCTAAGGAAGGATGTCAGTCATAGAATTTTCCAATATTTGTCACACATGTAACCGAGAATGGCCCTGGTGAGGTTCAAATTGACTAAACTTATGTGCACTTGAACATGGTTCAGTAAAATGGTTCAGTATTTTTTCACACTGCAGTAGGTACATGTACATTTATGGTATGCACATGTCAATGTCAAATGGTCCATTTGGAGTTCTTTTGAAAACAAATGTTAATCTGTATGAACTGTTGTTCATATTTAAGACAGTGTTCGATTTCCATTCCTACTCACCATGTAAACGCACATGTACATGTACATACATGTACAAGTAAAACAATAGGAAGAAAATTACGTACATGTACATATACATGTACATGTACATGTATGTATGTATGTGTACTGTACTTCGCAGTGTAAAGTTCTGAGTATGTTATGAAAGCAACCCTTATACAGTATGTACCCGTACATGAGCCTAAAACTGTTATACATGTAATGTTATTACATTTTATGTTACATGTACATACATATGCACGAGTACTTATTTTCCAATTCCTACTGGTACATGTGATTTGGTATCAAACATTTACATCAAATTCCAGATGTGTACTACAAAACTGTTTGCATTGACATTTGTATTGGAAATGATCATGTTGCTTAGGCTGAGCTCGTTCAAGGGGATACAATCATCCAAAACATGATAATCTAGTTGGTGTGGCTTCCCAATTGAGTTTAAACTGGTGTAATAACATCACTTCCCATACTTGAACATACTTTTTCTCTTCTCACCACTTCAATGGCACCTGTAAGAATTATAAGAAATAAAAAATCAATATACCTGTACACTTGTGGTAATTGATAGAATTACAGCTGAAATGCTGTCTTGATTGGATAAGGAGTACCATCTGTCATTTCACAATCCAGGCTTCCGGTATTATTTGATAAGCATCATTATTGATGCATAAACTACATGTAGGTTCATCCACTTTCATATGAAGTTGCTTGTGTGCATGTGTAGTACACATCTTCAAAAATTGGGTGTCTTGTGGTATATCAGCAAGAAAAAATATGACCTTTAATAGTTCTTGTGTTTTGCAAGTACATGTTAAACCTGATTTGGTTGTGACTTTAGGAATTAATTTGGATGAAAATGTTGATGACGGTGTAGAACAGTTTGTTTAGTGTTCAAAACTTCAAATAGCTTTGCTGCAGTCTGTTTTTAAATAACAGAGGGTTGTGCTTTATGGTTGCTCTCAGACTATGTTCTTGGTTTATAGATGGGATCAGACCTATCATGCTTAGGTTGGGGTTGTGGTAACAGATGGTCAGCTTGGAGGTGCATACATGTATGTCTAGACAAGGGTAAAGTGGCATTACTTTTGACCTTTGTAGAGCTTTGCAAATGTATATCGTACGTTCATGTGCCTTTACAATTGACAAGTTTTTCTTGGATCCCTTTGTACATTACCTGGCTGAATACTTCAGTAAAATAAGTCTCTCATCTCTCTTGCCTGAAGAAATCTATGGAACGCCAAAGAGGCAAAACTTGGAGGCAACACATCGATCGTTCTGTTACATAGATCGATTGTTCTTCGACATTGATCGATCAATCCACTACATTGATTGATCAGTCCCCTTCGTTGATTGATCGTTCTTTAATATTGATCATTTTCTTTCGATTGGTGCCAAAAGAGGGATGAAAAAAGAGCAATGGAGAAAGAGTGATGGAAAAAGAGCAGTGACCAAAGAGCGATGGAGAGAGCGATCAAGAAGATTGATGGAGAAGGAGCAATGACAAAGGTCGATGAAATTACATCGATGCGAACAGTGCACCATGTGTTAACCCTAACAGTCCAAAATCCTCCAATTTCAATACGATTTTACATACACCCTTGGGGGTTAGGGTTAAGGGTCGGAATTTGCATTTAAAATGTTTAGCACCATTTCAATTTGCCTTTAAACGAAGAATCAACTTAATAATTGGCTGAGAATTTACAATCAATACATCTGCCCTGCATGTCTTGCTGGAGATATGGGCATCTTCAAAGATGTGTGACCCAGACTCAAATACAAAATATACATTGTATCTCACGGAACAATAGAGCTGTCAATCACTCCTCAGGAGATATCTTTTTCTGCAGAGCTGAAGTAGATTTATTCTAGAATTTGTTTTTTCACTGGGACTTGCCCAGCCACTTGAAAATAATAATTTCTTCCCAGGTATTTTGAGGTGTATTGGCTTCTAAGTCAGATAAAATCATGATATTAAGTATTAAAACAGCTAAATATTTTTGTTCAATGGTTTAGACC